ATTCCATAGATTCTCAAAGAAGCATACAGTTACTACATGAACTAGAAATTCCACTCCTGTATCCAAAAGAATTGAAAATATGATCTGAACAGATACTTATTGTGAGCCAATGTCCATAGCAGCATTTTTCACAATATATAAAAGGTAGAAACAATTCAATTGATAAATCAACAGGTGAATGAATCAACAAAATATGGCATAAACTTAGTGCAATATTAATCCACCATAAAATTTGAAATTGTGACATATGTAGCAACACTTATGGATTTTGAAAACATTATGCTTAGCTAAGTAAGCCAGATCTCATAGGACAAACATTATATTATTCTACTTATATAAGGTACTTAGAATAAGCAAATTTTTTGGAGAGTAAAACAGAGGCTACCAGGGACTGAAAAGAAAATGGAAAGTGGAGTATTTCTTTTAATTTTTTTTATTTTTTAAAAGAGATTAAGATAAAAGAGGACAGGGGCTGGGGATTTAGCTCAGCGGCATAAGCACCTGCCTTGCAAGTAGGCAGTCGTGAGTTCGATCCCCGGTACCGATAAAAATTAAAAAGACAAAAAAAAAAAAAAAAGGTAAAAGAGAACATAACAAAGCAGATCAGAACAGAACAATTTAAGCAACATAGAATTTTACCACAAGTATCTGTAACTGTTTTACCAGTTACAGAGTTTTTGTTGAGGATAATTTTTAATGCTCTTGGCATATATATGGTCTTAATGTTTGGGCCTCCCAAAATTCCTATGTTAAAATGTGACCACCAAAGTGACAATATTAACAAGTGAAGATTTTGGGGGTGATTGAGTCATGAGAGCAGTGCCCTCATGCATTGGATTAATAGCCTCATAATGAAGGGAGAGTTTACATGCTCAGAGTACCACGTGCACGGGCACAAAAATGTAACAGTGAAACCTATTTAATGTGCACTGTTATTATGTTTCAATAACTAATGAAAATAAATGAATACTATATTAATGTAAAATATAAAAGCATCAACAGTTGTCATTGTGATAAAAAGGAAGGTATATGAGTGACCTTCCTTGTCCCTTCCATCAGGTAAGGACATAGAAGATGCCATGCATAAAAAACAGGCTCTCACAATACAGTAAATCTTATGGTACATTGATCTGGAACTTCCCTACCTCCAGAACACATTTATATTGTTCACAAATTACTCAGTCTAAGGTAACATGTTATAGCATCCCAAACAAAGACAGTGATAATAATCACACAATATTATCAGTGTATTTAATCCCACAAAATTACACACTTACAAAAGGTTGAAATCATAAATATTATATATTTAATGCAATAAAAATTGAGACATCAGATGACTAGCTTGAGGTGGTACACAGTAAGCAGTAATTAATACTAATATATTAGCGCAAAAATAAATTAAGAGTATGTTTTAGGCCTACATGACTTATGGCAAGACCCCAGGTTGGATTAAAGATAGATTAATTGTTAAACCAACAGCCAGAAACAGTCTATGAAGTTCTGGTACCTCAAAGCAAGATAACACAGCAGCTGAGGACCTTGACTCACACAAATTCCATCTAAATCCCATCTATCTCAGCAAACAAAGTTAGCAATTAGGTTACTAGTTAACTCTGATCTGTTCTGTGTGCTTTTCCCACAATTCTTGAACCTTGACCATGTCAGCAACTCACCCCCACTGCTTCCTGCAGCTCACTATCCCGAGTCAAGCTGTCTGCCTAATAAAGGCCAAGGACACTGTACCTCATGGTCCTATCCTGTCATTGGGCTTTGACCATCTTTGTGCCCTTTGTAACTATAGTGTGTATATTTTCTCTGTGTTTTAGTCTGTAATTGTACCTGTGAGCAGGAGATAGTGGTCCACAGCCAGGCACTGGATAATCAGATTCTCATCTCCCCATCAAAAAGGGTATATTCATATATACATCAAAATATACACATCAGGTGTGTGTGCACATCTGATAATAATGTGGTTTCATGTGTGTAATTACAAGTAGTCCCTTTTTTTATTTTAGGAAATGCCAAGATATTTTGGATGTGAGAGGCAAGGTAGCAGAGTGTGATACAGTTTTTTTGGTTTGTTTGTTTGTTTGTTGTTCAAGAGATTGAACTCATGACCTTATGCTTACCAGGCAGGTGCTTACACCACTGAGCTAAATCCCCAGTCCCTGCAGAGAGTGCTATAGAATCCAATGTACAAGCTTAGTAGATCAGAACTTAAAATGTAAAAGGAACCAATGAATACTTTGCAATAGCAGGTCAAAGAATACATAGGACAAATGTTTTAGTTTTAAATTATTTACTTTGTTGCTGATCTTGAATTATATGAAAAAGTAGTTGTTTTCCATTTTTATTTTTAAGAAAACACTTGCTGTAAGCAGTATTTATTTTATTTGAACAATCCACAAGGAGAAAAATATCTCAAATTTTAAGTCTACACTTTTTTCTGACTAGTAAAAAAAATCATATGCTTTATGTTTCAGTGAAGCAAATTGTAATGTTAGTGAGGCCATAGAAAATGTGCTTTATGTCAGTGTAGGTAATGAATAAGACTGGATACAGCATTTGGCAGTAAGGTACAAGTGACATCATTTTTGATATGGCTTAATTTTCAGACTGCAGATAGACTGGTAAGGTAAACTATATATGTTTTATTAGCAAATTTAATTTACTATAACAAATTTGACATTCTATAATTTTTTAATTTTAGTAATGGAAACACATTTCTATAGTAAGTATTTACAATGCAGGTCCTATAATAAATTTAAACAAGATTGCATGCTCCAGTTTTTCTAGTTCAAAGTTTCATATCATAGCCTCTCTGAACAGTTAAAGACCAAATATATACTAGAAACTGTATTTACAATGAAAAGAAAGTGACCATGTATGCATTTAAAGTTAAAGGAAGTACTTTATCTCCTCTGGGCTTAAAGTTTTTCCATCATGCTCTTCAGACTACCAAATGGAACCATTTCATTTAGTTTTCCTTATTCTTTAGAACAAAAATAAGAGGATTTGAAAGAATTTGTGATCTGTGCAATAATTTTTCTTTTAATTAATTTGGAATTAAGCTACTCAAACCTATAATTTTATTTATACAATAAATATGTTATTGTCTTTTTAAAACATGCATATTATGGTTAATTGATCATCAACACAGATAACAAGAACACATAATAGAAAAAAGACAGTCTTTTCAGTAAATAGTGTTAGAAAAACTAATTATCTCCATGAAGGAGAATGAAATAGGCTCTTATCTGATATCATTTGGAAAAACCAACTCAAAAATGGCTACAAAGTCAGCCTGGTACTATGAATCCCAGCACTCTGGAACACAGAGGCAAAAAAAAAAAATACAAGTTCTAGCCCAGCCTGCGTAATTTAGCAATTTAGCAAGACCCTGTCTCAAAAGAAAATAAATGTTAAAAATATTTTTTTAAAGTGCTGGAGATGTAGCTTAGTGTCAAAGTCCTGAATTTCATTACCAATACTGTAAAAAAAAAGGATTAAAGACATAAATATAATACCTGAGACTATAAACATGCTAGAAAAAAAACAGGGAAAATCATCCACTTCACAATATTAACAATAATTTTCCAATATAACCCCCAAAGCAAAAGTAAATGAATGAGATTACATCAAACTAAAAAGCCTCTGCACAACAAATGCTATAGTCAATATAGTAAAGAGATAATTTACAAGAAGGAGAACATATTTATAAACCATAAATTTGAGCCCAGCCTGGGCAATTTAGCAAGATTTTGACTCAAAATTAAAAAAAAAAAAGGTTGGGATTAACCCTCAGAGCTACTAAAAGAAAAAGAGACAGAGACAGAGAGAAAGAGACTGAAGTTGTAAATCTTTTGTGGGAATGGAAATTAGCATAAACATGGAAAACAATATGGGAGGTTCCTCGATAAAATAAAAATAGAACCACTATATGTTCCAGCAATCCCACTGCTAGAAATATATCAAAGGAGATAAAATCAGTGCTGTGTATGGAAGAATATGTACTCCACGTTTCATGCAGCATCATTCACAATAGCTGTGATGTAGAATCAATGCACATCTGCAAATGAGTGGAAAAAGAAAATGTAGTTTATACAAACAATTGAATGTTCTTCCGCTTTAAAGAAAAATCCTGTCATTTGAGACAACATAGATGAACCTGCACAAATACTCGGTCATCTCATTTACTGTAAAATGTAAAGAAACAAGAGTAGAATGATGGTTACCTGATGCTGAGGTAGAAGGATAAGAGCAATGCTGATCAAAGTATACAAAATTTCACTTAGGAGACATAAGTTCAAGAGCTCTATTGACTCTCTGGTGACTATATTTAACATACGTTGTATATTTTTAAACCTTTCAGATTTTAAGGGCACTCACTAGGAAATAAGCAATTATATGTTGTAAGGCATATGCTAATTAGATTGATTTAAAACATTCCATACTTTCCACATAAATTAAAACATCATGCTGTATATCAAGAACATGCACAAAAAATTAAAATACATTTTTGTTATTTTTAAAGAGAAAAAAAAACATAGAAAAGAGAAACAAAAGAGATACACAACCACATGAACAACAAAATAACCCAAAACAACAACAATATAGGCTTTCAAACAAGATGATAGGAATTAATAATGGTTATTATGTTGCATATTGTTATCTTCAAAAGCATTGTAAAATACATTTTTAAAACAATCAAATTTTCACATATGTAACTAGTTTTTAAAATTTATTTAATAGAAAAAAGACACAGAAAAGAAAAAACAAAAAGCAAAAGAAACAAACAACAAACCCAAAACAGAAAAACTATAGATTTTCAAAACAAGATGATGGGAATTTAACAATGATTGTAATATTGCATATTATGTGACGTTTAAAAAAAAGATCTCTTTGCCGGTGTCCTGCACCTGCGGGTCCGCAGTTCCTGCTGGCAGAGATCTGGGGCGCAGAGAGAGACGCTTTCCCAGTCAACTGTGAGCCCTTTGGTTTTAAAGCCCAGCCGGCCGCGAAAACAGGCCCGCTCCTCCACCCCCCGCCCGCAGAGGAGACTGCCAGGCCGGGTGCTCACGCGCCAGGGCTCGGCTGCGCGGCTTCCGCGTCTCTCCCATCGCTGCTTGACGTTTTGCTCGCGCGGAAGTACGACAGCTAGCTAGAAGCACAGCAGGGACAGCTTTCCCGACTGTGCGGCCGCCGCCATGCCTGCATTGCCGCTACGGGTGGCAGTGGTGTGCTTCAGCAACCAGAGCCGCAGCATGGAGGCGCACGCAATCCTCAGCAAACGAGGTTTCAATGTCCGGTCCTTTGGAACAGGAACTCACGTGAAGCTTCCAGGACCAGCACCCGACAAGCCAAATGTTTATGATTTCAAAACGACATACGACGAGATGTACCACGATCTCGTTAGGAAAGACAAAGAACTCTATACACAGAATGGCATTTTACATATGTTGGATAGAAATAAGAGAATCAAGCCCCGGCCCGAAAGGTTCCAAAACTGCAAAGATCTATTTGATCTTATCCTCACTTGTGAAGAACGAATCTATGACCAAGTGGTGGAAGATCTGAATTCCAGAGAACAGGAGACCTGCCAACCAGTGCATGTGGTCAACGTGGACATCCAAGACAACCAGGAGGAGGCCACCCTGGGAGCATTCCTCATCTGTGAGCTCTGCCAGTGTATCCAGCACACAGAAGACATCGACAACGAAATGGAAGAGCTGCTGCAGGAGTTCGAAGAGAAGACTGGCAGGGCCTTCCTGCACACTGTCTGCTTCTACTGAAGAGTGCAGCTGCCCACAAACCAAAGCCTTCTTGATCTTTCTGTCATTGGGACTTTTTCTCTCCTCATACTTGTTTGTACTTTTAGATATTCTGTCAGCGGATTTTGGTATTATCCAAATAAAGTATACATATGAAATAAGGAGGTATCATAAATAACAAATCAAAACCATTTAAGTTTATTCCGTCCCATTTTACCTATAAATGGGATATAGATTCTAAATGTTTTTGTATTTAACCAAAAAGAAAAAAAGAAAAAAGATCTATAGTATGTTCCCCTCCTGAATATACATTTGTCTTTAGTTGTGCCAGTCTATCCCTTCCCCCTCTCCAACTGACTGGATTGTATAAAATATCTTAATAAAGCAATGGGTTGTATCTTATTAGGAAAGAATATGGAATTGCTAATAAATAAATATTACTTGACTTCAATAACAAAGAAACAAGCTCTTAACTAGGAATACAACTGTACTTTTACATGATATTCTCTGATGCTTAACTTTGATTCCATATCTGTATTTAAAAATGTTTTGTATACCATAAATATACACACATGTTCAATTAAAAATAATAAGCTGATGATTGCAGATGACATTTCACACTCTACATTCCTACTTTATGACCCACAGGATAGTTTATGTAACACGTTTATTTGGCTAGGCTATCTACACTTCCCAGAATTTCTGCTGTAAGATACAGGGAAGGTTCTCTCATGAGAACTGGATAAAACAGGAGTCATTATTTTATAGCAAATACACCTCCCAATTATTTACTCAGGGACCAATATAGAGTCTGCTACGAAGACATTTTGCAAGTGTAACTGAAGGCTGTAATCAGTTTCTGTTGAGTATTTCTCTACAGTCTGCCCCCCAGGTTTGTCATTAGTGTCCTTAGTATATTTTTTAAAATTATTCTAATTCTAGTGTGCTATTTATTTCTTGCAAAATGCTTGAAAGTTTAGTTAAAATATTATTAGATGATAAAAACAATAGAAGACTTTCTAGTAAACTTTATGCAATGAAAATTTTCAAGGCAACATTTAAAACATAGAAGATAACAAGAGGCAAAAATAAAAGGCTTAGTCAGAAACATTAGAAATATGCATAGCCAAAGGCACTAAGCAAAAGCAAAAGTTCACATAACAAATTAAAAGAAAACAGTAGCATTATATAAGTGATAATGTTAATTTCTACTAACACAAAAATGTCTATAAACCTTTAAGAAGAAACAAGTAGAATAATGAGTAAATGATAACAAAGATTATAAAAGAATGAATTAAAATATGTTAAAACCAAATGAATGTATCTCCCATATTTCTCATAACCAAGGAGATAACAAAATGAGAATGATCACCACCTTCTCCTTTAATTGAAAACTTTAAGGACACAGTTTCCTCATTGAGGGTATATATCTTATACTGTTCATCAGCATATAAATTCTTGAAGCCATTGTGAGGAAAATTTGACTATACTGTGTTTCTTAAAATAATAAATATCATACACTTTGACCCAACAATTAAAGAAAATTTATAAAGGAGGGCCCCTATGAGTAAGCATAGAAATGTGCAAATTAAATGCATAATGTAAGTATCTACAAATTATATACAAATCTATATTTTCAAAAAATGTTAAATTGAAGTTTGACACATGCAATGAAATACACATTAACAATCAACTCCTCATACTCTGGATTTCTGTATAATAATGGTTGTAAATACATATGTAAATCTTTTTATGTATTCTCAAAAGAAATAGATGAATAAGGAAAACAAAGATTATTACCCATTAACTATTCATTTAGCATAATTAGGTATAACCAGAGATAATACAATATCAATGACACCTAAAAATATGACAACAAAAAAATATATAACAGACGTAGCCTACCTAAGAAAGGTGAGTCCTATACAAGAAGTGGCAATTTCTATTCCTGGTATCTCTGAATCTAGGAATGAAGCAAGAGCTAAAAACAGAAGGATTTGGCAAAAAATGTCCAAGAAAAAAATCACCAGATCACCTTTCAAATACCAATCAGCCAGGCAATTTACTTTCTCAAATGAAAGAAATGGGCTGGAGGTTGATCCTCCAGTGATGACAAAATAAAATTTCTTCCCTGGGGAGACAGAGTAGGTTAAGGCATGCTTGAGGGCAAAGGTACTGAAAGCTGAAGAACTAAATGAAAGATCTACAAAATAAATGTTGAAACTACCTTGCAAACCCCTCTTTCCTTATTATGTTGCCAGAATTCTAGTAGGAGACTAGTAATCTTTAAAGAATAATAATTTGGAATATTATCACAGCATACTAACACAGAAAATGACATAATATTCCTGACATGAAGCTTGAGCTAAAGAAACTTTATGCATAAATATGTGCAAATAGCCAAAGGTCACTGTTTTTGCTTTTAAATACAATCAAATGCCAAGGATAACCAGATACATAGGGAAAAATCTGCACAGGCAATGACAGAGACTAAAAGTTCCATATTAAAATCAAGAAATCTGAAAATATAGAATTATTTCTACATTTCCATTACAGGTGTCTTTTATTTTTTCTTCTTCACTATCTGTTATGGAATAAAAAACGATGGTCAACTCAACACTAGCTGAATTAAATCAGCATGTTGCTAAGTGTAGATGGTCCACTTGAGGAATGCCGCCAGCATAAAAGGAGAAGTGGAGAGGCAGAGTGAGGCATTGTGGGCTCTTTTAACTGTTTTGTTTGGAGCCCTTGGTTCTCTTGGAGGAGCTTATCATGGCTAGCTTCCCCTATATGAATTCAGCCATTCACAATGGAGGAGCTCCGGACCTTGTTGCTGAGAATGGCTGTGGTTAACTTTGGAGGAGCTCTAATCCTTACACTGAGCATTGCTTCCTGGCTCCAGAGGACACAATGTTTGCTGTTTAAATGCCAGAAGTTTGTCACACTGGCTTCCTGACATGTACTCAACTGTTATCACTGGAGGAGCTCAGGACCTCATTGTCACTGAGAATGGCTGTGGTACTTTTCACAAGAGCCCTGGAAATTATCTTGAGCATCCCTTCTTGACTCCAGTGTAGAACACTCAACCTACTGACACAGATCCTTCATCCCACTGGCATAGGCTTTCTAGCTTCCACCGCTGACCTTTGGGCCTTCCCAGTGCAAATCTGTAAAACAGACTTTCATGAGTCATTCTCATGGGCTCTGGTCCTCCAGTTGGACTTCTGGGAGGCACTGTCCTGGCTGTAGGTTTCCAGCTGGTCTCATGCAGGACACTGCTGTGGGATCCAGGCCCTCAGCTGGAATTTCTAGATCTTTAGTGTTGTGAACAGATTTCCTGCACTTTCTTGTATTTAACTCTGAGTGGCCATCATAAAATAAGATTGTAAATTCTGTGCCCTGTATGTAATTGTTCTCCTTGCAACTCCTGACTACAACACTATCCTGTTTCACAAAAAAATAATAATCCCTCTAGTACAAAGTAAAAGAGGTAACAGTGGGCATATTTTCTTCACCTGACTAAAGGTAAAGTTTCTGTTTGTTTTTGTTTTCCATTTTATGGGAAAAAAGTAAAACAAAATTTCATAACAAAATAAAATAATAACAATACTTACTACTTCAGTATAGTTATCTTTAAAATAGATACTCAGAGTACAAGATATGGACACAAAATATTCTCCAAATGCACAAACCATGCTTTTCACTGAACTAAGAGAAACAAGTAGTACAACTATGTTTTTTCCCTTTGCCCTTACTTCCTTTCCCCCATTCTAGATCCTTTTATCTTTTGAATAATTTCTTCCCATTTCACAATATTTGTTGTACATTTTGGACTTCATTTACTCTCTCAAATTCTCACACCAGGAAAATAATGCAGTGTTTACACATTTGAGTCTGATTTATTTCACTTATGAATATGATCTCAAGTTACAGACATTTATCTACAAAATTCTCAAATTTATCCTTCTTATGGCTGAGTAGAATTCCATTGTACTAAAAAAAAACATCTTTTTTTATCCATTCCTTAGTTGATGGGCATGTGGGTTGTTCCCAAGATTTAGCTATTACAAATTGTGCTGCTATTTATAAGCATGGGTTCACATATATTGCTGTGGTATGATGTTCATAATTCTTCTGGAAAAGTATCTACTAAGGTAATAGCTGGGTCAAATAGGATCTGAAATCCTAGATTTTGAGGGCTCTCCAACACCGATTCGCACAGAGGTGGCACCAATTTCTAATCCCACAAACAGTGGAAATAGTACCTTTTCTCCACAATACCTCTACTAACTGAAGTTGATTTCATGATGATAGACATTCTTTCTAGAGGGAGATGGAATCTTAGTGTTGTTATTTTTTAATTTTTTTATTTTAAGAGATTAAGATGAAAGTTGACACAACGAAGCAGATCAGAACAGAACAATTTAAGCAACATAGCATTTCACCACAAAACAACCTGACATAACAGTAGCTACCATAGTGTCTCTTTCCTTGAAATATTTGAGGTTATCTTCATACACTGTAGTATCAAACATAACAAGACAATGTAAAACAGTTCAAGAGAATGAAAGTATTACAGGGTATTTAAAACCAACTAACACAAAATGTACAATGGTTGTCTATAAAAAATTTTGTTTATACTATCACATATAATAAAATCCAATAAGATTCAACACAATAAAACCGATGGAGACAGAAGAACAAAACTTGGTGGGACTTCAAAACAAGATGATATTTAATCATCACTAGCTATTATAATGTCTTGTTTTCTTCAAAATAACTGTTCATACCATCACAGACAAAAAAAATCAAACAAACCAGAATAGAACCATTCCAATTAATGAAAACATTATAAGGTTTCAAACAATATAATGGGGAATCATGTTTGCCACATACTTTTATGTACTCTACCATTTATTACACTAGGGAAACTATTCGGTATTTATACATGTGAGTTTGCTTTATTTCACTTATGAGTATGATCTCAAGCTGCGCCCATTTATTTATAAATACTTCAATGTGATCCTTCGTTATAGCCGAGTAGTATTCCTTTGTATAAAAATACCACAAGTTTTTTTTTTTTATTTAAGGAGAAAAGAAAAAAAAAAACAGTGAAAGGGTACAAGCTATACAGATTTACAGAAGAAAAAAATGAACAGTAGGAAATCATTAGTTAATGGATTACATATTGCCATCTTAGAAATAATTGTTCAAGTCACAAAATTAAAGCTTGTAGAATGGACATTCCAACAATGATACTGCAAACAGTTCTGTTCAATGATCCAATAAAACTCTGTGATATCATTTTCTATCTTATACACTTAAATATACATGCAGTTATATAGTTTAGAGCACTTTCTTTTCCTCTCTTTTGTACAATGACTATTACACATTTTGGGTTTCATTGCTCCCATGGTTCTAATTGCTTTTTTGGAAGAGAGTAGAACCAAATGAGACATAACAGAACAGAATCGGTCAAGTCAAAAGGGTGGACATAATAGATAATATAAAAACATAATACAAGGTGATCAACAATGGTTACCATAATGCCTCCCGCTATCTCTAATAGAATTGCCTATATCATTAGTTATAATACAATTGAACAAAACAGTAAAGAACAAAACCGACAAAACCAAAACTTTGGAGACATTGTAGGTCTTCAAAAGTAGATAAAAGTCAATGAGAATGGGCGTTATAATGAATCTCATTATCTTCACAGCTGATGCCTAAACTTTCGAACCTGATACTATCCAGCAAAACAGAATAGGGGAACATCAGTCAAAAACAAGATGGTGAGAGTAATACAGGGCTTCAAATCGAGATAATAGAAAGTCAAAATGGGTTACTATATTATATCCTGCTATTTTTTTCCCTTTAATTAAATGGATAAAAATAAAAAAGTAAATAATGGAGTGGAGATTGAGAAAAAGAGGGCATAACAGCGAAACAGCACAGATCAAAACATAACCATTTAAGCAGAATAGTGTTTCACCACCAGATAATTCCGACCCAA